CGAATGGAAGTCATCTTCACCACCGGTGAGAAAATCTCATCAAAGTCAACTCCTTTCTTTTGACCAAAACCTTTGACAACCAAACGAGCCTTGTACCTTGTCATGTTGTCGTCATTTTTCAATTTGAACACCCACTTGTTTTTCAATGCTTTTCTGCCCTTTGGAAGCTCCACCAGCTCATAGGTATTATTCTTTAATAAGGAATCCATCTCTGACTCCATTGCCTTCATCCATTTATCACTGTCGTTATGAGCTCTGGCCTCCTCATAAGTTTCGGGCTCTCCATAATTAGTCAACATGATATATACTCTGATGAAGAATACTTGGTAGACGGTCTTCGACTTCTGCTGGATCTTCTGACCTGATCTTCATTCTCTTGCGGGGCTAGAGGCTCCCCCTGATTGGATTCTCCTTGAATCTGCTCTTCTTGACTAGGCTCCCCTGATCAGCAATCTCATGGTCTGGCACATCTTGATCAGGCTCCTCTTGATCAGCATTATCTGATTCTGCAGGCACTTCATTGGCAGTTGCTTCAGGGATGTCATCGTGACTTTCTTCATCTGAAGCTAATGGATCAACTCCTCTGACTGCGCCATCTGGTTGTGCCTCTTTATCCGAATCCCCAATTGTTTGTTCTTCATAAAAGACCACGTCTCTACTTCGGATAAACTTCTTCTGGTATGGGTCCCATAATCTGTAACCAAAATCTTCACCGCCATAACCAAGAAAGATGCACGGTGTAGCTTTGTAGTCTAACTTCGATCTCTGCTCTTTGGGCACATGCACAAAAGCTTTGCAACCAAACACCTTCAGATGAGAGTAAGACACATCATTACCAGTCCATACTCTCTCTGGAACATCAAGACCTAATGGTACTGATGGAGATCGGTTGATCAAATAGCAGGCTGTCCTTACAGCTTCACCCCAGAACTGCTTAGATAACTTTGCAGTCCTCAACATACACCTGACTTTCTCCATGATGGTTCGGTTCATTCTTTCAGCAACACCGTTATGTTGTGGAGTTCCAGGAACCGTCTTCTCATGACGTATGCCATGTTTTACACAATACTCTCTAAACTGGTGAGATGTGTACTCGCCGCCGTTGTCGCTACGAAGGCACTTAAGAGGTTTCCCAGTTTCCCTCTCCACCATGGCATGGAACTCCTGGAATGTCTGAAACACCTGGTCTTTGGATTTCAACAAATACACCCACACCCTTCGTGAAGCATCATCAATATAAGTAACAAAATATTTATTTCTTCCAAGTGACTCGACTTCCATGGGACCACACACATCTGAATAAACAAGATCTAACAAGTTTCCTTTCTTTGTAGATGGAACAGAAAAACTAACTCTTCTTTGTTTTCCGAATAAACAATGCTCACAAGAGTTTAACGACGTACCTTCGGTAAAGGGAATGTGAGACTTCTTTGCCAAAACTTGTAGGCCTTTCTCGCTTATGTGGCCTAGCCTCTTATGCCATAAGTCTAGAGATGAGTCCTCCACAGCATTCAACTCACCTTTCAAAACCTTGGCATTTGACCGGTACAACGTACAACAAAGTCGTGCTCTTGCTACCACCATTAAGCCTTTAGTAAGCTTCAATTTTCCTTCGCCAATATGGTGATAATATCCTTGTCGATCAAGGGTACCGATGGATATCAGATTGAGACGTATATCAGGAATATGTCTCACATCTTTCAACATCAATTGGCAGCCGAGATTAGTTCTTAGACATATATCACCAATTCCAAGAATTTTGGAATAGCTTTCATTCCCCATCTTCACTATGCCAAAGTCACCTTCTTTGTATGTACTGAAGAACTCCCGTTTGGACGTAGCATGGAAGGAAGCTCCATTGTCAAAGATCCATTCAATGTCTCTGTCAGAGTTGCCCATATGCAGACATTCACCAACAGACAATATTTCTGGTACATCACCACATATGACAGCAGTGGTATTGCCAGTATCATCTTTCTTCTGATTGTTTCCTTCCCTTTGCTCTCTCTTCCAAACTCGACAATTTTTCTTCATATGGCCTTCTTTGCCACAGTGGTGGCATGCACCCCTGAACTTTGACTTGGATCGGCTAGGACTCCTGCCATGACCTCTAGGCCCTCTACTTTTGCTTCTTCCGCGGTTCTCTGTGACAAATACTTGGCTGCTATCTGTGCCAGAAGTCTTTATCCTTGTTTCTTCATTGAGCATGCTATTTTTAACATTATCAAGAGTAAGAACACCATTAGAAGCAGAGTTACTTATACTCACCACAAAGGTCTCCCAACTGTCTGGCAAGGATCCAAGTAACAAGAGCGCTTGTAGCTCGTCCTCGATCGTCATTTTCATAGTAGCCAACTGGTTGATGATATTCTGGAAATTGTTCAAGTGTTTCTGCTACACTTAAACCATCCTTGTACTTCACATTGATGAGCTCTTTGATCAAGAAGGCTTTCTTGGCTGGGGTCTTCTTCTCGAACAAGGACTCAAGCTTCGTCCAAAACTCGCGAGCATTGGTTTCATTAGACACATGGTGAAAAACACTATCATCCACCCATTGTCTAATTGTGCCAATAGCCTTGCGATTCATCTTCTTCCACTCGGCATCGGACATGCTCTCGGGCTTAGCGGCATCTCCTTCAATTGGCTCATGCAAATCCTTGCAATAGAGAATGTCCTCCATCCTTGGCTTCCATGTTACCCAATTGGAGTTGGTGAGTTTGATCATAGTGCCACTTCCTTCCATCTCGTAGTACGAGCCAACCTGGCTCTGATACCACTTGTTAGGAATGTCGGTACTACAAGATAGAGAATGCACAAGGTAAAGTAGAAAATGGACGCCAAGAATTTATGTGGTTCGGCAATTTATGCCTACGTCCACCAAACAAGGAATCTTCACTATATGAAAAAAAGATGAATACAACAAGAGTAGTCTTACCAAGCCAAAGACAAGGCTTGATGGATACAAGAAAGTATAACACACACTTTCTATCACTCTAAACTTCACTCACACAATGTGTAGTGGAACACTCTCACTCTCACTCTTGGAGTGGAACTCTAGCTTTGGACTTGATCCTTTGCTACTCACTCTTAGTTCTCTATTGGTTACATCACACCCATATTTATAGGTGAGGGCTTGGCATTCTACTAGTTTCTAGTTCCTTCTTCAAACCTCTAGTATAGAAAAATCTAGACTAGCCACATACTTGTAGCTTCTAGATCTTTCCATTTGTAACCAAGGAAGCTAGTACTCTCTAGCTTCTTCCATCAACTTAATAACATGCTAGAATTGTCTAGCAAGCTCCAGCCTCATCTCTTGCTTACTAGAATAATCTAGAACATTGATCATGGGCTGGACCATATACCAACACCCTTAATGTTGAAAAGTATTTGGAGGAGGTGAAAGCCGACAAGTCCAAGATTGTGGCCAATGCTTTACTTTCACATGAGGTCCTACGCTATGTGAATCATTCGAATTTAAAGCAAGCAGCTGAGCTTCAGTGGAAGACGATGGTGGAGGACATCTACTTAAAGCAAGGGAAATTCAAAAACTGCTTGGCTGTATGCGACCCTGGCAAGACATGGATAAGGGGGCTCCAGGAGGATGTGTTGTCTGCGCTGGGAATTTTGATAGCTGAATTGAGTGAAGAGCCATGGAAAGGAAAAGTGATCAGTTTCAGTAAGTCACCTGAGCTGCATCGGATACAAGGCAATGATTTTAGGTACAAGTGCGAGTTTGTTATAAGGATGGACAGCAACAGTGCGTGCAAGTGCGATTTTGTTAAAAGGATGGACCGCAACAGCTCGACTGATATCAAGAAGGTGTTTGATTTGATTCTCGAGGTGGCTGTGAATGAGAATTTGGAGCCAGAGCAGATGATCAAGAAGGTGTTTGTGTTCAGTCACCAAGTCTTTTAAAAGGAGGATTATCCCTATGGTGACTGCTGCTCGAAGACCGATTATAAGGCAATACAAAGGAAGTTTTCAGAGAAAGGATATGGAGATGTTGTGCCACAATTAGTGTACTGGAACTTGGCAGATAAATACTTTCAGGATGAAGGAAGGCCACTAATCCCTTATACACAACCAGGGGTGACGATAGTGTGTGATTTTTCCAAAAATTTGCTCAAAATTTTCTTGGAAAATGTTGGGGAAATTGGCCCGGACAAGGTCATGGAAGCCTCCATATCCGATGAAGAGTACCAGCAGCTGGCTGTAGTTGACTGATCTACTATAATTTTTAGTGAGATAGTGAGAGAGGCTTAAATTTTACGTATTTGTTTCTTTGACGATAAATTATGGTGAATCATATCAGCTTTAACCTCAGTAAATTACAATTCCATGTTCTTTGTTTAGGTGAATGAAATTTTTTTATGTTGTATCATTTGCGAATTGCTTCTACGTGTTTATGTTTTGGCAGATTACATTTTCTATGAATGTCAGGCAGAAAGAGGGGACTTGTGTTGGAAATTACATATTATAATTTGTATGAATAGTTGCATTGTTCCACAACGCAAACATTATGCCAAGTAGTGAAGAACCAACGGTTTTTGTTTGAAATATTGCATATTTCTGATAGGTTACATCTTCCATCAAACAGTGAAATGGGTTCTACATAAACCCAAAGACACTAAGACGTGCATATAGAGAATTAGTGAGTCAACTCTTATTCATGAGAAATAGACTTTCCCCACTATGTTTCTTTCATTCCTTGTTGTTAATTTCGAGTCATGTCTTGAGAGTATAGAATGTATTGGGTTCGCCAGAGTTCGAAGATTGAAGTGCTTCGACTTTGGATTATAGATTGTTTACAAGCACAGGAGTAGGGGCGAAGTCTTTAGGACATTCATTTATGCAAGCCTCAATCTCCAAGTTTGTCAGTTTTTCTAACTTTCTCTCTAGTTATTGATATTAATCTTATACATAACTGATGTTGTGAATTCCTTTATGATTATTATTATATATTAGAATTCTTGTGTGATTTTCATATTTTCTAATATTGCTCCATCACCTTGTAGGTTCTATACGACCTTCCATGGAAGACACGGATGATCAGCAGTCGCGTATGTTTCTGTCATCAACTAGTGCAAGTTCAGCGGTTGAAGGTGTTGTGCCTTGGCCCGTTTGTCAGTGCGGAAACGAGATTCAGATTACAACCTCACCAAATCACACTCAGTTGAATAGAATAAAATACAAGAAATAAATACACCGAGAAATTTACGAGGTTCGGCAAAAATCTGTCTACGTCCTCCAAGAGATATTACTTTTCACTATGAGAATAACTAGTATAAGATACACTTGAGTTAAATCAACATAACCCAAACCCCAATCCCTTGTACCCTCACAGAATTTTACTAAGAGCCTCACTCTCCCCAAGAGTTTCTCACTCTCACTCTATATTTTCTCTCCTTTGTGTTCTCCTTCGGATGCTCTCTCAATGCATTTCTAAATGCACAAATATTGCATCTAGTTATAGGCATACACTAGCAACTATGCCAACAAACAAGACCAAAAAGTCTTAAGTTCACATGACATAATTATCACCTAGCCTACCTAGCATGCATCAAAGTCTATACCTAGTCTATAAAGTATAACTTTTCTCCATTTGTCATTTAATGCATATAAAATAAAACATGCACAATTGTGTGCAAGCAACCACAAAGTCAAGTCTTGCTTCCAACTTTGTTTGTGGTAGTCACCATGTCTTCTCTTGAAACAAGACATCCATGCCACAACCGAAAGCCAAACACAAAGTGGCTACTGCCATTTCCCTGTAGCACTCAGAAAGTTACACTATCAAAATTGTTGCCAACTCATAAGTATATGAGCCAAACACAACAGAAAGTTTAATCATTAATAAATGGTTTTTACCGTAGGTATCGTTGTATCAACTTTCCGTGCGTCCGATTTTGTAAAAAGAGTTGAACACTTGAATTTTAGTATGCAGACTCAATAGGAATTTGAAGTGTCATAAGTTCTTTAGTACATTAACTAGCAACAGTGCCCGCGCGATGCTGCGGGTTTTAAAACTGTATAAAACATGTGAAAAATTCTAAATACATACGATATGCAATAGTATTTAGATATATGTTGAAATCTGTTTACAATCATATGGATTGGTGGTTCTATTGCCATTGTTCTAATATTCACATCTTTTACAAATTTGAAGTCCTAAGAGTCCTAAACTGAAAGAAAAGATAAAAGTTTATTTCTCACCGAAATCTATCAATTTGAATCAAATCTACCGAAGAAGTACAGATTGTAGCATACCTTGTAATTTCTGCAAGCTGTCCACCTGCAATATCAATAGTGACATAATTTCTTCCTAAGCCATCGGAAAAACCAAAATTGAACAGAACTTCTTCCTCTCCCTCCTCTGACCAAATAAAAGAAGTAATGTTTCTCTTTTGGAATCTCTAATCACATGACACTCCAACCACATGACACAGAACCACACATAACAGAAATTAAAAAAGAAAAAGAACTGAACACATTAACTCTTGACAAAAACTTATTACCCACGAATGGAAAGTCACTGAAAACACAAATCACCAATGAAGAAATGAGGAAACAAATCAGCCACCTAACTTATATAGCATTAGGATGAACCATGCTAATTTGTTCATAATTGATCTGTCTCCCTACATTTTTCAAATTTGCAACCACATATAGTATTGTAACATAAGGATCAAACAAAATAGATTAATTCTTACGCACACAATAATAATGGAAAATAAAATAAGAAACCTGTTGGAAAAGTTGGCAATAGATTGGTTAAAAAACAATTTAAAATACTTTTTTGTACCACTTGGTGATTCTAAACACTATTTGTTTCTAGATGAAATTAAACATCGTAAAGAAAGATGCCCCAAATCAGCTAAAGAACTCATAACAGAATTTCTACCTTGCAATTTATCATAACCTTTTCCATCACAGAACATTCAAAATTTTCAACAGAAAATGGATTCTATAATGTTGGCTAAAGTTATATGCACTACACATTAGCACAATAAAATATAATCAGTCGCATAATTATTAATGTACAAAACAATAAAAAATTAATATAAATCAAAAGATGACAAACCTATTACTTTGTATTCTCATTATTGCAAATAGCTGAAAATTCCCATGAAACCTGCAAGAAAGTAAAAAGAAATTAACTAAACTATCACTCAAGAAGAAGTTAGACAGAAGTGTGGATAATAAAAAAACAGATATCTACTTCTAGTCTATCAAGATGTTAATTTTAGAGTTGCATCAGCTTCAATGTCTAAATGAAGAGTAGAAATAAATTCATCCACGAAATAAGATGTTATTTATAATTATCGTAACATAAATGTAATGTGTGTACAATCATCAACCCACACCCAAGGGTAACTACTCATCCTGGCATAACTCCAAAATCGCAAGAAGCATGTTAATAAAATAAGTCCCTTTATCTCATCTTTGCTACTATCATTTTCAGGAGTCATGTGGATTTCCACGAATTGTAAAGCATGTATATACAAAGTGAGGTTTGCCAATACCTCTAGCTATTTCCAAGTGTGCGCTGGTGTGGTTTTTCCTTTGTAACATGCAGTTTTTTTACCTGTATCATTCCCACCATCAACCAAAAAAAGGAAGGAAAATTTGACAAAAGAAGTTTCTTAATACCTTTTAGGAAAATTGTGAACCATAAAATAAGCACTGCATTTCAAGTATCATTTGCATTTCGAACTTATGAAAAGAAGAATAACGCAAAATGCATTCACGATTTTTACCTTAAGCTTTCTAGCTTTCTCCAAAGCTTTCTGCTTTGTCAATTCATTATCTCTTGCCCGCCTAAATATGAAAAAAAAAATTAAATCAATTTCTTTCAAAAATTCAATCATTCACATAATCATGCAAAAGAGAATCTGATTATTTCGAAAGCAGTTGAGGCAGGTTCTATACCAAGGAATAACTTGAAGCATATCAAAGTTAATAAGTTTTAAGAGGGGTGAAAAAAAACTTAGCAAAGAAAGAAGGTATTGAATGATCAATAATAAGAATTTGGTCACCTTATTTGATCAATGCCAATGATCCTGAAGTGTTAAGTGCATTAAAATTTATATAGAACAAAGCTTGAGAAGCACACATCTGTGAATGATAAGAATAATGCTGGAATTTTTTTTTTCTAGTAAATGGAATAGCAATAATTTGATTTAGTAATTAAAAATATTTAACACATTGTAGTAAAAAAAATTAAGAGCGTAGACAAAGCGTTTAAAATTTATTGAAATACAATGTGAATTTGGAGTTCTTACAAAACATGTAATGATTGACAAAAGTATAAACATAATTAGAATTTCGGAAAGGAAATTATCAAACAGTAAATTTTTTTTAAAGCTTTTGGATTAGTTTTTGAGTCACATTTGACAATTGATAAAAGTAGCCTACAAAACTCAAAAATAACTATTTTTTAAGATACAGGGTTAATGAAAACTAAAAAATAAAAAACAGAGAATGTTAAGTTATCCAATATTAAGATAGCTTCTTTCTGTATTGTATGTACATTGTAGTATTAGATGACTTAACTTTTGCTATGTGACGTCGTTGAACGACCAAGAAATAAAACTAATACATATGCAAGTACAATTAGATGCTTTAAATAAATTACTTGTCTAGTCAATCTAAACCGTTCACATTTTCATTAAATATCCCGGAGTTGGTACTTCAAAAATATTAATTTAGCAACAAAGAAAACTACCTAAAGATTCCTGACTTGAAAAGGGCATCCAACAGGGATAAAAACAGCTTGCCCCAAATGTTGTTTAAAGGACCATGGCTCAATTCTTGATAAAACAGGAAGAAAAACAAAAGAATAGAGTTCAGAATTTTCGAAACCTGAATGCTGAAAATCTCAAAGAATATCAAATATTCAAGATCACAGTCACATGCACAACAAAAAGTAAAATGATGTACACTATCTCTAAAGTATAGACTAGTAAACAGTTAGAAATGCAGGTCATGGTGTGTAAAGTAATTTTCAGAACACGGGATTTACAAATGTCGCTCAAGCCAGAGTCAATTTGACTTCAATTGTAAAAGCCAAATTCAAAGAACACAAGTTTCCATTTAAGAAACATGCGACTTCATCAATTTGAACAGAATTCAAGATAAGTGGCCAAATCATTGTGATTATTCAGCTAGCATTGAATAATGGATTCACCATATTTATAACTGACGAAATGCAATCAACCATCAAAATTGTATTCATTAAATAGTTAACCCTATATCTTTTGCTAATGAATATTCAAAGTATTTGGCGGTAAAATAATAATAATGGAATAGATTAATCATCAATTAATTATCAACAAAAAATAATATTCATTAAGAATGGGGTTTCTGCAACTCTAGATTTTGCAAATAGTAATAAGTGCCGAAAAATGAGTGGCTGAGATATAAACAGAGGTTAATGGTCCAGCTCAGCAGACCAGTTTAGAGATTGTTAGTGTTTGTTAGTCTGTTAAGTATGTGCCATGAGGGCTAAGCAAGGTGATTAGGTGTTGTATAAATTGTTAACTCTCTCTCTTTGTTGAATAGTTAATTCATTCATACAATTATAGAGCAACTATTATATCACTCTCTCTAAAATTCCTTTTCTCTTTTGTTTACTCAGCATTTCTCAAATATTTCAACATAGTTTGGGAAGCTCAAGTGTACCGGTTGATACTCCACAGCCGAGATGGGAGGCCAAGTTTGGGAAGTCTAGATTCTCACCTTCTCTGGGTCTGGTACTCCGTATCAATTATCATGAGAGAGAGGGAGAAAGCGGGTATTCGTTGAGAGCGTTTGAGTACTGTATATTGGTAAAAAACCAATTAGATACTTGGAATTAGATATACATCTTATAATCGTGCAAACTGGAACTTGAACAAATCCAAAATAAAATAAATATAATTACAGAACATATGAATACCATAGTTTCTCAAACGGCATAGTCCACCTGCATATAAACATTTCCATGTAAATTCATACCTCAATAAAAAGAGAATAGAATAAGGCATACTTCATACAATATCATGAATTAACTCAGAAAAATTTCATTAACCCAGATTTTTAAAATTAAAATCACAAAAATTTGAACAACGAAAAGAGAACCCAAGAACTAAACCCTAACAAAAAATGTCAAAGAACTCACCAGGAAACCCAAGCTTTATGGGTTTAAAATTTCTTCAATAAAACCCAAAATTTCCCTTAATGGAATTCCAAAAAGCATTCTCCATCGGCATCGGGCAAACCCCACTTACATGCGTCCCTTGCGAAAACTTCCCATTTGAAGCTGTTTCCAATTGATTGTCCACCGTAAAATGTTTTAAATCATCGCTAGTATGTTGCAAACAGAACGGGATTGACCTTGGATTTTCCCAAAAATTCACCAAATCAAACCACAAAAAATTAGTCAAAGTAAACAAAGTGCACAATTTGTCGAAAGCAATAGATTATAGATCCAACATTCATACAAATGAAATTCGATCATGAATTGAATAAAAAAAGTGAGAGAGAGAGAGAGAGAGAGAGAGAGAGAGAGAGAGAGAGAGAGAGAGAGAGAGAAAGAGAGAGAGGAACCTCAAGCACCTGGAAACTGGAACCCTACACATAAACGCGGCAAAAAACGATGACCATTGCTTCCTCAAAATAAAATAAAAAACCAAATCATATACCCACACTAAAAATCCAAACACAGAAACAAAACCCCAAAAATTATTTATTATTATTATTATTATTATTATTATAAAATAGATCTGCAAACGAAATAAGACCCAAAAAAATTTAAACTTTTGTTCAAGAAAAGATTTAAGAGGAAAAACATAAATTATATACCTTAATCAGAAAGGGCTAGCAAGCTTCTATACAAAACCCTAAAATTCGATCAGCAATGTTTCCTGAAATAAAAAACAAACAACCACAACACCAAAAAAAAAAGAAGCAAAATACTCAATGCAAAAGGCCAAGGCCTGTGTGGTTGTTTTTTTGTGTTCAAACCTTCATCAAAACACATAACACAAGCCAATAAAATATTTCACCAAATCTGAAACCCAGAACACAAACTAATTTAAAATTTTTGCAACTAAACATTTGAATAAAAAAAAAATCATCAAATTAAAACTCCCAAACCTAATTCAATCCTTGATCAGAACACATAACAAAGGTTAATAAAATATCTAACCAAAATAAACAATCAATTTTTAACATCTAAAATTGAAGATAATAAAACTCATCGATTTGGAAAGAAAAAAAAACAAAAAAAAACCCTCCCACTTGCAAGTTTTGAATAACTCACCGGAAAGCTTTAAGTTGATAGAAAAGCAAGATAGAACATGAGAGAACAAAGAACACCAGTGACAAAAACCAACAGAGGTAACAGGGAGAGAGAGCAAAGGAAACAAAAACCACAAAAACCCAAACAATCAAACGAAAATTGGAAGAGAAAGAATGAAAAGCAACAGAAGCAAAAAGAGAGAAAAGCAAGGGAAGATGCCAGAAGACGCAGCGATGGTTGACAGGTGGAGTGGAAGGGCATAACCGTCCTTTCACTGTAGATAAGTTGAAACAAAGTGCTACCAGCCAAAAAATATGAGGGCATTTTCGCCATTTCACTGTTCATGAACAGTGAAAAACAGTGCCACCCGAGTTTGGGTTTTAGTATATGTATAAAGTGATTGATTGAGCTATATCGGCAGAGATGCTAAAAGGTCTTCAAATTCTCTGGCCAGAAAAGGATTCTTATAGCAGATTTTGTTGTTTTTTTTTAGGTAGATCCTTCTGAAAATTATGCAATTTGACTGCTTTTGATTTTTTTTGGTCGAAAACTGCTTTGGATGTTGTTGTTGTTTCCTATTTTAGCCTGCATAACAAATATTAAAATTAACAGCTTCCTTTTGCTGGCGAAGTATAGCTGTCGCGAGGAGCTTAATTCTTAAAGGGAGAAGATGAACAACTTGTCATTCCAAGGGATCCACCAAAGAAATTAGAGTTTAGGGATAGGAAGAAAATAATATTTACTAAACCAAGTTTTGGTGTAATTAGTTGGGATTTTGAGGAATTTTAATAGATTTATAATTCCATAGAGGTTTCATGAAATTTTTTGATCCAATTCTCTCGAAATCTCAAATGAGGAGATGAGATTTGTTGCTTAAAGTATTTTTAAAGGCAAATATCTTGAAAAAGGTCCCTAAGGAGCAGTAGAAATATATTCACATCAAAGTAGTGTCGCTATTGCTATTAGAACTAAGATCATCTCCGGATCTTTACCTCAAGAGCTGAGATATCCATTAATCCTGGCTATTAAATTTAGTCGTGCGGCCATGAAGCTAAAGGGTGCAGGGGTTGGGAGAGGAAGGGTGAGGGGATGAGGGTGGGATAACAGCAGTCATGGCGGTGGGTGACTGGTGAGTGGTGAAGATGTGAAATTGTAAGAGAAAGTCTACTACATCATAGTGTTTTTTGGTGAGGAAGAGGTTGAGGATGAGCTCAACTTGGTCGTCGAATACTTGCCGCTGCGTACTTGGTTGGTGGAGGCTAGGAATGGGCAACGGTTATGGCAGGCGGGTAACCGTGGTTATTTATCCATAACTGTTTATATTCATACCCGCATAACCGTTTACCCGTTGAGTAATTGCATAAATGGTTATATCCATAACCATAACCGTTTATAAACGGTTATCCATACCCATAACCGTGTACCCATTTAACCATAATCATTTACCCATTTAACCATATTCATAACCATTTACCTGTTTACTTGTTTTTGAACCCGTTTATCTTTTTTTACCCATTTACCCATTTTTTCACCCGTCTACATGTTTTTTTAACAACTTGAAAATTACAAAATAAAAATTTGTCATAATTTTTGTTTTCTAACAATTAAACATCGTTATAGGTACATTTTAGCATGCATTTCCCTATTTTAATCATTTAAGTCCTTATACAATTCCAATAAATGAAATAATAGTTTACGAACGATATTTTTCTGCTACACCCAAGTAAGTCTTTAATTATAATTCATATGATTACAAAGTAAAGCTTCTAAAAACAAAAAGTAGTCATTATCTTGAATGATTCAAAGCTCCAAAATATTCTGAAACTAAACATTTTCGAACACGTTCAATCACAAAGTATCATCGACTCGTTGTCACAAAAAACGACCTAAAAAAGAAATGTATAAATTGAATTAGTATTCCATTTAGGAACACCGACATCAATTAGCATGAACAAAAGGCATTATGCAAAACCAACTGATATAAAACACCACTCAATCAACTATTCCTTTACTAACAAAATGGCATTATGCAAAACCAACTGATATAAAACACCACTGATATAACAGTTTGCTACTTGTATGGCAATGTCATGAATCAGTTTATAACTTTACAGACAAAAATCGGTTACATTAACACAAAACCAAAATGGAAAAAGCAGCCATAAGACCATCATCGTCTCACCCTCATTATTCATGCCAAGTCAAACCTTATAGTTTATATCCCAATTGATCAAAAACTATAGTTTTTTAGGCTAAAGGTAGTATGTCCCCCTACAAATACCCATCTGCTCCATCAAAACGCTTTACCATATCATATTCACAAAGTGATATATCATCATATCAACTATCTAGATGGCAAGTCGCAGATGTTATATTGATAGCACTTACATACATGGTGACCAAATCAACTGGATAATTGTGTGTATTTTACACACGTCTTTGATTTATGCAGCAATCTTACTAATGTTAATGTTTAATCTCACAAAATAGGCACACATTAATTACAAGTACGAAGTTACTAAATTTATAATCGGTGGAATGAACCCTATTGGCCCCTCCAATTCAATTTCGGTGGAATTCAATTTTGTGAGTTCTCTGAGGGTTTTTATTTTTATTTTTTTTAATTTTACACATATTAAATTAAATGGGTAAATGAATATCTGTTATAACCGCGGGTAATACCCGTAACCGATGGATACCCGTTATAACCGCGGATAATACCTATAACTGCCCATCCCTAGTGGAGGCAATCCTCTCGTTGGAAGCCACCACAGGCGAGAAGGGGAGAATAACAGAGGATGTGAAAGAGTGAAAGAATGAGTCTTTGTTTTGCATGAAAAATAGAGAAAATTTGTGGCCGTAAAATGTTTTTTGGACGACTCTAATTAGTTTATCCCCAAGATACGCATATAAATGAACCGGAGAAGATCTCTACGCGTTATTATGGGCGAATGATGTCAAATTTTTGCACCTATTGGTCTATCTGCCACTTTGGAAAGTCTTATATGAAAATATTCAACTAATATTTTTTTTTCACCCATTTTAAGACTTGATCCAATCTTTGGAGTAAAACTCAAATTTTAGATTCTAAACCTACCTCAACTTACTACAACTCTTATGCCAAATATAAGTCTTAACCCAAAACTCATTTTTGATTCTCTTGTGAGTTAGTGGGCTGATGTACATCCACATCGTTTAGGGGAGTGGATCTTCTAAGCCTTATATGTATATTCTCATCTCCAATTAGCACGAGGCCTTTTGGGAGCTCACTGGTTTTGGGTTCCATAGGAACTTCGAAGTTAAGCGAGTTCGCACAAGAGCAATCTCAGGATGGGTGACCCATTGGGAAGTTCTCGTGTGAGTTTCCAGAAATAAAACCTTGAGGGTGTGGTCGAGGCCTAAAGCAGACAATATCGTGCTACGGTGGAGTCGAGCCTGGAATGTGGTGGGGGCCTGGGCCGAGATATGACAATTTGGTATCAGAGCCAATCCATGGCCGGATATGTGCCGACGAGGACGTCGAGCCCCTAAGGGGGGTAGATTGTAACATCCCACATCGTCCAGGGGAGTGGATCCTTTAAACCTTATATGTATATTCCTATCTCCAATTAGCATGAAGTCTTTTGGGAGCTCATTGGCTTCGGGTTCCGTAGGAATTCCGAAGTTAAGCGGGTTTGCACGAGAGCAATCCTAGGATGGGTGACCCACTGAGAAGTTCTCGTGTGAGTTCCCAGAAACAAAACTGTGAAAGCGTGGTCAGGGCCCAAAGCGAACAATATCGTGCTACAGTGGAGTCGAGCCCGAGATGTGGTAAGGGCCCGGGCCGGGATATGACAATACCGTGAGGGCGTGGTCAGGGCCCAAAGCGGACAATATTGTGCTACGGTGGAGTTGAGCCCGGGATGTGGTAAGGGCCTGGGCCAGGATATGACAATTTAGAAACAAAACCGTGAGGGTGTGGTCAGGGTCCAAAGCGGACAATATTGTGCTATGGTGAAGTCGAGCCCGGGATGTGACAATTTAGAAACAAAATTGTGAGGGCGTGGTCAGGCCCAAAGCGGACAATACCGTGCTACGGTAGAGTCAAGCCCAGGATGTGGTGAGGGCCTGGGCTAGGATGTGACAGCTGATCCATCATATATGTGTATTCTTTTTAATTTTATATTTATAAATTCATTGAATCTAACTGCTAAGATTTAATATACCCAAATCCAACGGTAAAAAAAAAAATCTAACTGTCCAAATTTAAATCCAACCACTAAAATTATTATAAAAAAAATTCATGTGTTTCATATTCTTTCATAGTGTTCCACGAGTATCATGGTGTCGTTTAGTGGTTTTTCAATATTTATCGGAATCTAAATATTTTTTATTAAAAATTTTATAAAATTAAATTAGGATAATCTGCATAATTTTTTTTTAATAAAAAGTTATTTAAGAAAAAATTATCCTAAATTGATTTTTTAATAATCTCGAGCTAAAATTTAACACATAAGAGTTGGAGCAGAAAAACTGTTTCTGGGTTAAAACCTAAATTTTCTCAGTTAAAGATTTTATATTTTAATCCAAATGTTATGGTCTAAGCAAATGTTTCCACCTCAAATACTTCCAATGTATATAAAAAAAAATTATACACTTTATCAATAAAATATTATTTATTTGGATAACCCAATACAATTCTTCATCTTCTCCGTAAAAATTAACAAACCTTCTCTTCAATCCATTGTTCTTAATCTCTAATGAAGTTGTGCGAAATAAATCTCGAAGCATGTTTCTCATGAATCTAACTTCTTTAGATTACATTCTTTTAATTACTTATTTTTTGGACTTAATGTTTAAGCGTATAACATTTAATAACACAACTTTAAACAATAATCTTTACCTTAGACTAAATTGAATTAGTTTAATATTTGAAAATTTCGTAATGTATCATCTCATGATTGGCTTTAAGTGATACTTCCAACACTAACCACTTAAGAAGTTATCTCTTGAAGCAATTTTTTATTTTTTTTTACAGAGTACACCGATATTTTTACACCAGGGGAATGAGGAGTTCGACTAAACCACACAATGGGCAGCCTAATTTGGTGTCGAATTCGTTATCCACGAGATTCGAACCTAAGACCTATCACTTTTAAGTAAAGAGAAATATCACC